TTGTTAGACTGTTCTAAATCTTTTCCCCACCCTTTTCTCTCTCTCTCTCTTCTCTCTCTCTCCCTCTCTCTCTTTCTCTCTCTCTCTCTCTCTCTCTCTCTAGCCCCGGTATCTTTTTTCCAGACCAGTTCGTGGCGCCTATTTTTCTGCTAATCAAACGCCAGCTGTGCAGTTGATGATTTATTTGCGTTCTACTTAGTTTTTACCTTTGTATGGTGTAATAGCATTGTCATGAAACCAACTGGACAGTTTGTTCTAATCAAAAGGACATTTCGCTTACAAATGTTCCCCTTCAACAAGGATACCCAATTGTCCTTATTTACATTATAATAATAACAACAGAGCTTGTTACTTTGGTAACTTTTTTGCATAGTCGTCTCAAATCACTTCAGTCATACCGTCGTTTGTGGTGTAGCGGTCAGGTGCTTGGTTGTCGCACACAGGAGACTCGAGTTCAAATCCCCAGAGGGGAAAATTTCTATCGAGCTTCTCGGTCTTACTGCTGAGGTAATGAATCCTTTTCATCCCGGATTGTCCCCGATAGACGGGGTCTAAATCTCGCCTCCTAAGTGATCTAAATTGCGTCGATATACGGGCCTAAAAACACCAACACCAAACTACCCCCCCCCCCTCAAATAAATAAATTTTAATGATTATTTAAACTTTTGATTTTGAATCTTGTGGTTACGACACTTACCTTAGTCTAATAGGAGATGAATGATAAATTCAGAAGACGTGCCTCTCAAAAAGCATGACAGTGTGAAAAGGTGTTTTAAACCCATACCATAACAAACTCACCCCTTTCTCCAAAGCCGTCCCAGATTCACCTCTTTCTCCCCGCCATTTCCAGTTCACTCTTTTCTCCATGGCACAGTGTTGTACGTGTATCTGTTCACAACTTCACTTCTTACTTCTTCTTTTGTAGTTTGCCCCGCTGCTCTCGGCCAATCAGTACACAGTCCGCAAGATGGCGGCACAAGCTCTCATGGATGTGGCCTTAATGATGGCAAACATTTCCCAACTACGGACACTCATCACAGCAGGTTAGTGTGAGTAACATTGACAGTGTAGTTGTTTTACACCCCCATCGACACAATGTAGGTTGTTTGGGTGGTCAGCTATTTTAACCTTGCCCATAAGGGCCAACCCGGGCCGAGAGGGATACAACGTTCCTGCAGATTTATGGGGTCCTCGATAAAGAATCGAAGTCATGTCTCGTACATGCAACAGAGAAGCGCCTTCACAGATGTTCTGTGTGTGTGTGTGTGTGTGTGTGTGTGTGTGTGTGTGTGTGTGT